TACCTCCTGGGTTCAAGCAATTCTTCTGCCTCAGCCTCCCAAGTAGCTGGGACTATAGATGTCTGCCACCACTCCTGGCTAATTCTTTTTTTTTTTTTTTTTTAAACACGTGACAGATGGTTATATGATCTTTGGCAAATGACTGAAAAGGGATTCAAAGAATTGATGAAACAAATATAATAATTATTTATATAAGCAATTTTTAAAGGCTTACATCTAAAATATTTGTAGGCTGGGGTGATAACTCAGGCTTGTAATCCTAGTACTCCGGGAAGCTGAGGCAGGAGCATGGCTTGAGCCCAGGAAATCAAGACCAGCCTGGGAAACAGAGTGAGATCATTTCTAACGTTTTTTTAAAAAAGAAAAATAATCGTAAAATATTTTAAAAATACTGAATGTTGTTTTGTTCTATGAATATCAAATAACAGCTCATGTTTAATAATTACTCATTAACATGTACTATATTTACATTATTTTGATCAATTGTGTACCAGTAATTGCAATGATGGATGAAGTTCTCAGTGTCTTGCAGAGGACAGAGGCCTTTCTCATTCTCGGCCACTTGGGCCCCACCCAGGGTGGCTCAGAGCATGGCTTCCCTAAGAGCTAGGAGCTCAGTGGGAGGGACTGGGCAAGACAGACGTCAGTATCTTTTTGTAACTTAATCTTGTAAGTGACATCCCATCATTTTTGTCTTCTTCTATTCACATTCTTTTTTTTTTTTTTTTTTTTTTATCAGATCAAGTAGAAATTTTGTTTAAAGGGGCAAAATTCATTCAGGTCTTCAACTGATTTTCATTAATCTGAAGTCTCGTGTTTTACTCACGGGGAAAAAAATACAAAAGAGGTTTTGTTCTCATGGCTGCCCACTGCAAGCCTGGCATAAACAGCCCGCTCACTTCTGTTTGGAGGAATATTCTTTGCTCTTTTGGACATCAGGCTTGATGGTATTACTGCCAGGCTTCCAGCCAGCTGGGCACACTTCCCTATGTTTGTCAGTGAACGGAGCCTCTGGGTCCAGCCCACACTCCGGGAGGCGGATTCAGAAGGTCGTGACTCCCAGGAGGTGGGATCCTAGGAGCCATCTGAGAAGCTGCCTAGGACAACCACCAATTTTTACGTAACAATTACATCCTCTACATCTAGACTTAGGATAGAGAATTTTAGAAGTCATCTTAAAAATGTATGACAGGATGCAGTTTTCCAAAATTGTTTTAGAAACAGACAAGCAACGATATTTTGAAGGCACCTGAGCTTCAGGCTTCATTCAGCTGGGTCGTGTCTGCGGGCGGGGCTCATAGAGATGTCGCTGGGGGTTAGCGGGTGCTTCCGGCAGCCAGAAAATCCGCCGCCCCAGATGTGGGCCTCCTCTCGAGGCCAGTGGAGAATACAGGGAAAAGCCACGGAGTGCAGACTCCGTGCGTGTCAAGGCCAGGCAGAAGCGCACCTGACAGGCAAGGAGAAGCAGACGCTGGTGGGCTTGGGAGGAAGGGAAGAGAGGCGAGTGGGCAACAGCGCCTGGATGACCTCAGGGGGACAGGCTGGAGGCGGGAACCGAGGATGGGGAAGCGTGGGCCAGCTTGAAAAGGCCCTAGAGGGTTCGGAGGGGAGAGGCCACAGGCAGCGCGCGTGCTAAGGAGGAGACTCATGAGACGTGTACTTCACTGGCGACAGTGTCAGGGGCCGCGGAGTCCGCCTCTGGGGAATTACCATTCTTAGCTGCGGCTGGGACAGAGTCGCACAGACCAGGTGGGCGCCTGCCCTCCAGGAACTCAGTGTCCCAGAGCAGAGCCAGGAGGCTGGAAGTGACTGCAGTCCCCTCCTCCCTGCAGCCCAGAGCTGTCTGTCCTTGTCCTGAGAAAGAGAAAGGAAAGCCATCAAAGCACAGCGAGCAGAACCAGGCAAAGGGGTGGGGACGATAAAATGGGACAGGGCCCGCGGTTCCAGCTACTCAGGAGGCAGAGGCAAGAGGATCAATTCAACCCGGGAGGCCTGGGCTGCAGTGAGCTGTGGTTGCACCACTGCACCCCCGCCTGGAAGACAGAGCGAGACGCTGTCTAAAATAATAAAACAAAATAAAAACTAAGGCCGGGCGCTGCGGCTCACGCCTGTAATCCCAGCACTTTGGGAGGACGAGGAGGCCAGATCACCTGAGGTCGGGAGTTCGAGACCAAGACGGCGAAACCCTATCTCTACTAAAAACACAAAAATTAGCCGGGCCTGGTGGCACGTGCCCGTAGCCCCAGCTGCTCGGGAGGCTGAGGCGGGAGAGAGAATAGCTTAAACCCAGGAGGCGGAGGCTGCAGGGAGCCGAGATCGCGCCACTGCACTCCAGCCTGGGCAACAAGAGTGAAACTCTGTCTCAAAATTAATAATAAAAATAAAAGGACAGGGAGTAAGAAAATGGACTTCCTGAAATTCCAAGTTGGGATTTGACGTCCAGTGGCCCAGGAAAGAAACATGAACTCTGAACGGGTCCAAGAGTCAAGAGAATCGGGGCGGAGGGTTAAAATCGGGTTTGCCAGCCGCACGGCCAGGGCGGAGGGTGCGTGCGAGGGCGGGCAAGGCTTTGGCGGGAGTTGAAGCTATCCTGGAGCGGGCTCACCTGGGGGCGGGACGGGCCAGGCAGGGGAGCAGCGGGAGGAGCGCACCGGGGGCGCGCGGCTGGGGAGGGCCGCGGAGGGGCGCTGGGAGGAGGGGCGCAGGGGCGAACCGGGGAGGCCCCGCCCAGCCTAAGCCCCGCCCCTCCTCAGCCTGAGGCCCTCCCCGCCCCAGCCTGAGCCCCTCCCCGCCCCAGCCTGAGCCCCGCCCCCAGCATTAGCCCCTCCCCTCCGCTGACCCGGCCCGCCCCTGGGCCCGGGCTGGAAGCCGGAAGCGAGCTGAGTGGAGCCCACTCGAACTTCCCCGCGGAAGGGAAAGCCCCAGAACGATCGCTCGCTGCGCCCCCAGCCGGGCCGAGCCCTCCGCGACGCCACCGGGGCCATGGGGGCCGCACGCAGCCCGCCGCCCGCCGTCCCGGGGCCCCAGCTGGGGCTGCTGCTGCTGTTCCTGGGCGTGCTGGCCCCAGGTGGCGCCTCCCTGCGACTCCTGGACCACCCGGCGCTGGTCTGCTCCCAGCCGGTGAGACTACGCTGGGGGCGCGGCCGCCGCAGGGGTGCTGCGGGAGCGGGGCAGGGTCGCCGCGGGAGCGGGGCAGGGTCGCCGGAGGCGCGGCTGGCCGGGACTACTGCCGGGCTGGGGAGGCAGGAAGGCCGCGCGGCGGCTCAGAGGGGCTCCGAGGCTCGGGCGCGGATACCGCGGCGCCTGGGCGGGCCGTCGGAGCTGCGGTGGGGACTAGGGGTGAGGAGGCGGCACACCGCTCGGCGCGTGCGGCACCACAGGCCTGCCGTCGGGACTGGGGCGCCAGTGACACCCCGCCCGGGCCGCGGAGGTCGGGGAAGGAGGCCGCGGCGCGGGGCCCGGCTGCAGGGGCGGGCAGGGCTGGCGCAAACACGCTGTGGGGAAGGGCCCGGGAGGAGACCGGCCAGGTCTGGACCCGGCTCCACGCCGTGCGCCCTGCACGTCCCCCGGCGGGGCACGGCCGGCCCTCGGGAGGCCCTTCGCGCCCTTGGGAGCTGCCCTCAGGCCCTGCCCTTCGTGCCGCCGACGGAGCCGGGCGAGCCCACGGCGGCCGTACGGAGGTGAGCGCCCTCAGCCGCGCCCCCCAGAGGGACCCCGGGTTCGCAGAGCCGCCGGGGCACGCGTTTCGGGTAGAGCTGTGCTGAGGCTGGCTGAGGGCCACCTGCCCAGGGGCGCGAAGCCCTGAGTATGAGCGGATGGTTCATAAGACGGCCCCCGTCTCTCCTCTCCCACCCCCGACTACCACCACCGGAGTCTGGGAACCCGCTGGGCGCGCGTTGGGAGGACAGCAAGTTTGTAGCTGTCAAGATGTAGCCCCGCAGCGCTCACAGGAAGTGACCCACCCACCTGCCAGGTAGTGGCCTTTCTGTGAGACAGAACCATCTTTAAGGAAAAAAAAAAAAAAAACAGCAAAATGCTGTGTCCCTCCACAGTATACTCTCTTCTCCCCCGCACCCCCAAGCTCTCCTCTTTCCTCCCCTCCACCACCACCGCTGACCCCAGGGAATAATGCTCAGTATCTGAGTCAGAGGATGTGAAACAAAGGGATATTTCTCCTTATCTAATTTTGTGGAGGATTTACCAAAAGAGGGTGGAGGATGAGTGACTATTTCGCAGGAAAAAAAAAAAAAAGATGTTTTTAAGGTGAATGGTGTGGAGAAATGTCCTGTGACTTCCACTGATGGGCAAAGCGGGGAGAATTCTGCTCAGCTGGTCCCTCCTGCAGGCTGTGTAGGAACTGTTCTGATATGAAGGGTTCATGTGCCTGGATTGACAGCCATTGGTCAGGTGCCTGCAGAGTACAGGGTGCAATGCTGGGAACTGGAACTATAAAGATGGGGACCCTAATGTCCAGAGACCTAACTTGGAACCCTAGAGACCTCCCTAGGGGAGGAACAAGGCTTGAAGTTAGGAACTGGATAGCAAGGCAGCCTGTACCAAGCTGCTTGCACAACTGCTAAGTGTACAGAATTCCAGGCAAAAGAAAAATGACTTCCAGCTGGGGTGTCCATGGAAAAGTCATTTGGGCAGCCCTGTAGGAGTCACAGGAGCATTCCAGGTGATGGAAAAGGCCTGAGCCACAGCCCTTAGGTGGGACAGGGTATGGTGTGCGGCCAGAACGGAGGGTCTGACCCTGAGAAGAGATGCCGGAAGTGGGAACGGGACTCCCCTGTGTGTGGTGTGGGAGCTGGGCTGTTTCACTGCACAGTGAAGCAACTGCCAGTCAGGAGCAGAAGCACAGCCTGGCTACGGGGAGGACTGGAGAGCGACGTTTACTGTTCGTATTTATCTGCAGTCTCTCGTTCTCGTCCTTCCTCTCACACCATTCTGCATTCACCTGGTTCACAGACAGCTCATCTCCAGGGACAGACGGTTCTGGGCTCCACTGACTAATTCTTTTAAAAAGAAAGAAAACGGGCCGGGCGCGGTGGCTCACGCCTGGAATCCCAGCACTTTGGGTGACCGAGGTGGGCGGATCACAAGGTCAAGAGATGGAGACCATCCTGGCCAACATAGTGAAACCCTGTCTCTACTAAAATACAAAAGTTAGCTGGGCGTGGTGGCGCCCGCCTGTAGTTCCAGCTACTCGGGAGGCTGAGGCAGGAGAATTGCCTGAACTCAGGAGGCGGAGATTGCAGTCAGCAGAGATCGCACCACTCTCCAGCCTGGCGCCTGGCGACAGAGTGAGACTCTGTCTCAAAAAAGGAAAGAGAGAAAAAGAAAGAGAGAAGAAAGAGAGAAAGAGAGAGAGAGGAAAGAAAGAAAGAGGAAGGAAGGAAGGAAAAGAAGAAAGAAAGAAAGAGAAAAAAAAGAAAGAAAGAAAGAAAGAAAGAAAGAAAGAAAGAAAGAAAGAAAGAAAGAAAAAGAAAGAAAGAAAGAAAGAAAGAAAGAAAGAAAGAAAACACACCCCTCAAATTTCTCTCCCTCACTGGTGTTTTAGTGGATGCAATGCGATGTAGTGAGGGGAGGGAAGGCCACAGAGGTGGTCCCCGGAGGACCTGGATTTGCATGCGACTTTGCACTTACTGTCTCTGCAGTCTTGAGCTTTCAGGCTGACTGGGCCTGGGTTCCCTCATTTCCGCAAAGGCAGGACTGGGTGAGCCTTCTCAAAGTAAGCCCATGCCACTTTCCATAATATAAGTGTCTGTCCAAAGCCCAGTTAGACTTAGCCCTCCATGACTATCCTCAGACAGGAAGGCGGCTTCTGCACACCTGTTCTGTTCCTAGCTCAGTGCCGATGCACAGGATGCAGGGGCTTGATCAATATGTGTTGACTGAATAAAAACGGTCAGCTACGCTTGGAAAGTAGTGGCAGGCTGAGACCCACCTTAGCACTGGTGCCAGCTGCCTGGGGTTAACACATCAAAACCCAAAAGACTGATTTCCCTGCAGAAATCAATACAGGAGAAACCATCAATAATTGCATTTCCCTGTGCATTTCCTTGTGGTAAGCCCTGCCCCCTGCCTAGGCTTCATGCAGGTTTCCCATGACCGCCAGCCTGGAGGAACGCCCATAGGAAAGACAGCAGCAACTTAAGAGTTGGCCAGGGTGAATGTTAACACATAAGTTCACAGACAGGATGTGTGTTTCATTACAGTCTTTTTTCCTGAGCATTCGCGGTTTTGACTTGTGGTTGTAGAACAAGTGCTCAGTTAAACCCCTCTATCTTCTGCTTGCCAGAAGCCACTTTCATCATGCCAGTCTTCCAAAGTCCACAAAGTTGTGTTCTTTGTGCCAGACACTGTACCAGTGGTTCCCAAGTATCCCTTCATCCCATGCTCACAACAGCTCACAAGGTTGGCAGGATGAACCTGCTTTTGAGAGGCTGGGTGGTTGGCCCAATGTCGCACAGCTAGTAAGTGCTAAGCTGAGAATGACAGCAGGCTGTGCTTGTAAGTTCAAAGCCCACTTTCTGTCTCAGGCACTCAGTGGTGTTCACTGAATGCACTGAATTGAATAAAATCTTTCATTTCTTCCTCTTTTTTTTTTTTTTTTTTGAGACGGAGTTTCGCTCTTGTT